GGCACCCCGGCCTCGCAGCCCAGCCCGGATCCCGGGTCCGGCCCCGATCCAGAGGGAGGGGGAGAGATTCCCCCAAAATAAGCAGCCGACGCCGCTCGGGAAGCCAGTGCCTGCAGCCACCCTCATGTCCCCCGGTTCCCCCTGAGTTCCAGAATGCGCGTGACTGCAGAGCCATGAGCGTCTTTTCGGAACGCATGAGTGGGCCCACCCACGACCTCCTCCCCCCGCATCCCGGGCTGGAGTGGGATGAAGGGCTGTCTAGCCGCGTGTGGCCTTGAGGCCTGAATCTCGGCCAATCCGGGTGGAGATGTGCGGAGCATAAAACACAGCCCAGACTCGGAAAACTTAGTTCCAAAATAAAAAATAATGTAAACTATCCCCCGAGTAACGTTTTCACTGATTATGTGCTGAAGTGCTAATATTGCAGATAGAGTGGATTACATAAAATACAGAGTTACTTTCATTGTACCTAGCTATTTTTTTTTAAATGTGGCTAACAGAACATGTTAAAGGAAGTACACATGTGGCCCCTGTTTGCAGCTCTCCTACTGCTGCAGGTGTAGGGAGTGAGAGCCCGGTGACCTTGAGTTCAAGTTCATTTTTAACCAGGAAATTCTGGGGCAGGCAGAGGTCTCTGGGTCTCCCAAGGCCGGCAGGAACGTGGCACTGGCTGAAATGAAACCAAATACCTCCCCGACATAATTGTAAACTCCACAAAGGGGCAAAAGAACATATTCTTTATTTTAAAATACATTTTATTGATTTTTTTACAAAGAGGAAGGGAGAGGGACAGAGAGTAAGAAACATCAGATCAGCTGCCTCCTACACACCCCCCTACTGGGGATGTGCCCCCAACCCAGGTACCTGCCCTTGCCGGGAATCGAACCTGGGACCCTTCAGTCCGCAGGCCGACGCTCTATCCACTGAGCCAAACCGGGTAGGGCAAGAGAACATTTTCTTTAAATTGACTGGCTTTGGGAGTGATGCATGGACCTTTGTACGCCATAAGCATCTGTAGACACAAGCGGCAGGTTTTTAAAAATTATATTCAAAATATTGGGGGGCGTGTGGGGATGGTTTCCGTTATGGACGCGTGGCAGTTCGCGGGTTCATCTTGGCTTGCTGGACTGCAGCTCTGCAGCAGCACACAGGCTGGGTAGTTATTTTGCCTTCCTGTGGGCAGGGCGTGTGCAGGGAGGTGAAGTGTCCCGGGGGCCGGGAGGAAATGGGTCCCACCCAGGCAGGAAAAACACCCCCACTTCTCACAGAAGGGGCAGCACTTCGCTGGTCCGGAATGCCTGTCTGCAAAGCCATTTCAGACCCTGAATCACCCTGGGGACCAGGACTACTTCCTTGGAACTGCCAAGGGGGTGACCATGTTAGGGGGGGAGCTTTCCTTGGAAAGCCGTCAGCACAGGCCTCCTCCTCCTAGACCTGGGGTATATGTGGCGTGAGAGTGAAATACGGTTCTCAGGCGAATGCCACACATTGGGGCGATCAAGAGGCAAAGCCATTTCAGACCCTGAATCACCCTGGGGACCAGGACTACTTCCTTGGAACTGCCAAGGGGGTGACCATGTTAGGGGGGGAGCTTTCCTTGGAAAGCCGTCAGCACAGGCCTCCTCCTCCTAGACCTGGGGTATATGTGGCGTGAGAGTGCAATACGGTTCTCAGGCAAATGCCACACATTGGGGCGATCAAAAGGTATGTGTCCTTTTGAGCAAATGCTGAGTTATTACCTTAGGTCGTAGCATTTACAAAACAAAATAGAGACGTGCAGCGCCATTCCAAGCAGTTTTGCTGACCACCGCCAACAGCCAGGAAAGAATTTTAAAAATGAAGGGCTGCTACCCAGCTCGGTGTTCTGCATGTAAAGGGTGTCCCAAAATTCACGCAAATAGTAATTTTGATAGAAAACACAGGTTTATAATTAAAAATTGTAAATTTTTGTATTGATTCATAAAGTATACAGTATAGGGTTATGTATGGAATAGCATATCGGGTAGATGGCGTCCACGTCTTTGCTGGCACATACACACTCTTTTGTTGAAATTTTCCATGACCGTTTTCGCATACATGTGGCTGAATTTCAACGAGGCTCATTTTCATCTTGCTGGCTTGGTTAATCGACAAAATTGTCGCATTTGGGGTTCAGAAAAATCCACGAGTGATTGTTGAGAAACAAATGCATCCACGTGTCACTGTTTGGTG